CCCCAAAACCCCAAAACCCCAAAACCCCGTCTATATTCAATTGTGTTTATGGCAAAGAAGTTATGAAATTATGAATAAAATATGTCAAATGAGAAGTCATTTCTTGTAGTTCGCTTTGTGCCAGTTGATATTCTTTAGAACTCTTTCTTGCTTCATCATTGACTGTTGACTGCCTCCATCGACAAGAATTTCAACATCCTTAGACACAGCATTCATCTTAGGTGGATTACACTCCTTGATCACAGAACCTAGAGTGTCACTCATCACTAGAATGGCAAACTTGGCTACTTCTTTGAGTTTGTTGCCACTTGATTGAGCATATTCGAATTTACCTCTGATATCTGTGTAACCATCTCTGTAAAATGCAGCGATGCTTGCTGGTTGACCATTCTTCTGATAGAATACTTTTACGTAGACCTTAGACAGAGGAACTCCATTGCAATCAGTTACCTTGAGTTCTCCATATGCTTCAAGAATGTTTACCTTGATCTATGTCTAGTAATAAGTCTTGAAGATCTGTTTGCCTTCTCCACTTATTTCAATTACCATATTGTGATTTTGTAGGTTTTCTGGAATGTCAAGTTCAAATCTTTGTGGTTGTTATAGATAGGTTATAGTATCAATTGAAGAGTTAAGATCCACATTGTTAAGGTCTCTTTCAATCACATGGCATGGCTTTACGTATGAGAACTCTTCAGTGTTTTCTTTAAGGAACGGGGTTCTAGAGAATAGGATCTCAGCATCAATAATATAGAACTTAATGCTGACTGCTTTAATATTTGCTACTTCTAAGACTATTTGCCTCTTTTCAGTTGAGATGTCTACTTCAAGTCTTGGCTCTTTTCTGATTGACTGCTTATACTTCTGCTTCTTCTGCTCTTCAGTCATATTATCCTCATCTATCTCATTGTACTCCTCAATCTCTCCATCATATTCATTAAGCTAGTCGAGAATTTCGAGGAATGCCATCCTCCATGAAATCACAGGATAGTCTTCATATTTCCTTACTATAGATCTGGCGGTAATAAAGCTCTCAGATTGTCCAGTAAAGAAGTCAAAGTATGCCTTCAAGTAATCATGTTAGATTCTCAGTGTCTCATCTACAGTTTCATTTATATCTATGCTTTAGAATAATTTGATTGCCTCATTGATTCTATCTTAGAGTTGGAAGTAATAGACCAGCTGCATTTTATCTGAGATACTAAGACTTGGTTTCTGTATCAAGACTGATAATAGTCTGTTATATGTGTTCCTAAGGTTAACATTTAAGGTCCAATTCTGGGTATCACCAACTTAGTGAGCTCTCGAGTTGATAATAGGATAATAGTCCAAGTGCTTGATTTCTTTCTAGACCAGATTAACACTCAAAAGCTTAGATTAAAAGTACTCTCCTAAAGTCTCTTTTACTTGAATACCATTACCTCTACTAAGTAGCTCTATAATAGCTTATTCCTCTCTGTGGTATATTCCATACTTCCATACTTAATCAAAGAATATAAGTCTCTCTCTCAGTGTTTGAGTAACTCTTATGAAAAATTCATAGTCTTTGAGCATCCACATCATATCTTAGAGGTTGAAGCCTCTCTCTCCGTTGAATAAATTAGCAGTTCTTAGGAATTCAATGATGTCGTCCTTGTTTCCATTTTAGATGATGTCTCTGAAAGTCTCCTTCTTCTTGGTAGAGAATTTGTCAACGACTACTAACTTATTTGAAACTGCTCTGGCTATAACTTTTTGATCTTCTGAAATATTTGAAGGGAAGTGCACGAAACTTCCAGCTTGAGGGAAGTAAAAGTGGAAGGTCAGCCTGATCGTTGTGTATGGAGTAAGTGTCTAGGGAATGGATTTCATGTACTTATCTTTCTGAAGTGGCAAAGAGCCCTGAGGTATTTGATAAAGCATTGAGAATTCTTTCTTTTAAGGTGAGACATTAGTCATAATAACTTCACACTAGTATGCTCTGTTAGTCAAAAACTCCTCAGGAAGAGTCTGAGAGCTCTCAGTTTAGTTAAGAGGATTTTGGTATCTGTGGATAACCAAGATATCATTAGTGATATCAGTTTGTGCCTCTCTAACTTCCTTCTTGAATAGATATTAAAGCAATCCTCTGCCTTCATTGGTCTTATATTGATGTTGCTCTGCATTGAAGGGCAAGTCAAGTAGAGCTAGAGTCATAAGACATGAAATATTGTTGTTGACTTTTCTGATGAATTAGGAGGTAAGGAACTACAGGTCTTTGTTCTCAGCTCTTTCAATAAGGTAGGAGGCGTAGTCCACCCATAAGAAGTTACTTTCTACATTGTTTTCAGAAGTCGCATACATTTTCTGTTTGAGGAAGTGGGTCTCCATATATTCATTAGTCTTTTGAACCTCTTCAAATGATCTCAAACAATACAGTTTTAGATTCCAAACGAGTATCCATGCATAATCTTAGCAGTGATAATGCTCTGTGCTCAGTCGCTAGTAGCCGCAATGGCTATTGTAGTCCCAGCCAGGTAGAAGTACTTCACCAAAGAGGTTATGGTTCAATTTGTAGAATAGAACAAAAAGGATTTCCCAGGTCAAATCACTCCTAGAATGGAATTCCTTAATACAGGCTCTGGTAGATTCTCCATGGCGCTTAGCTATAAAAACTGGTACTTTTTTAATAACGCCATGAGAGTTCACCTTAACATTGTTGAATAACTACCTTTCATGTCAGTATTCATTCTTGTTGGAGATTCCATACTATTGCTAGTTCCTAATCTTGTATGTTATATCTCATGGTTTGTAGTGCTTATGAGATTCGTCTATATTGTAGGATACCTTAAAAAGCAAAGTTATCTAGTTTGGAGATTGCTTCAAATTTAGGGATGCTGATTATTGTTGCTATTATCTTGTAAAGAAGAAGTTTAAGTATTAGCATTTGCTAGCTTCTACTGCTGATTCTACCAGAACGCTTTGATTCTTCCTCTTAATGAGTTCTCATGGAATTCTCCATGATTTTCCTTAGAATTTCCTCCTCGTTATCTTCATCATGATTTGAAAAGTGAGCGTCTCCCATGCTTTGTCCGAAAGGATTAGCTCCCATATTACTTGACCTGCCTATCGATTAGAAAAGCATATTTTATCCAGATCCACCCAGATAATCATCATCTCCTTCAAAATCATTGCTACTTTTTTTCTTTGAGGATGATATTTTGTTATCCTCTCGTAAGAGCGATTCTACTTGAAGTGTGTTGTGGAAGAATATCACAACAGAGTTAAAGAAGAATTCTGGTCTCATACTGTTATGGTCTCCCTCGAATTTAACGATGTTCTTATCGCCTGCATACTTATTGAATAAGTCCTGAGTATGATGTGGCTAGATAAAGTCGTCTCCGTTGGCGCAAGCGAACATTGCTGGGATGAAGCATTCACTCACATGATCAATTGGAGAGAGATCGTCAAGATCGAATTTCGCCTTTGACTTGACAGTGCTTTTAACTATTTTCAAAGCTCCACTGACTAAAAATGAAGGGATTTTAGTGTACTACTTGGCTAATTCATTTACCAAAATCTTCATATTAGAGAAGGGAGAGTCCAGGACCATACCAGCTATGCTTGGATCTCTATCACCGTGAAGCAAAGCTGTGACTGAACCCATAGATCTACCCCAAAGTCCAATTGTAGAGACTTTTCTCTCATTTCTTAAATATTCAACAATAATATTCAGATCATCTCTCTCATGCCACCCCAAAGATATATATTCTCCTTCAGATATTCCGCATCCTGCGAAATCAAAACAGAACAGAGTAATATTTGCTGGCAATATATAAGGCAATGCTTCAAGTGCTTCAAGTCTTGAAGAACTGTTACCGTGCATGTAAACAACACAAGGCATTTCCTCCCAAGATCTATAAGTTTCTTCAGGCTCGAAATGCGAGCAATGGATTTTAAAGCCGAATTTGTTGTTCAGAATAACATCGGTTCTCTTGTACACTACATGATTTAATTCAAAGACTTCTGGTCCAAGATCGCTGATTGCGTACTCTAGTCTTGGTGGTCTAATAACTGCTTTCCACAGTGAACTGTATCCCTTGAATTCCATTTTTGGTTTTTGTTATTGTTTGAATATTTATAACTAATTACAACATAATTGATTAATACTACTCTTACGGGGTTTTGGGGTTTTGGGG